CATTGATAAGCACCCGGCATTCGAAGGTAATGATGATAACCGGGGGAAAAAAATCGTTAAAGGATTACGATAAAAACAATTTATGTAAATAATTTAAGAAAGTTTCAAAGATGTGTTAAATAACAACATACTAAGATAGGATAAAAATTTTTAACAAATGGTCCTTTTTGTTTTGTTTCTTAATCCCGAGAGAAGCTATTCTTCGATACACGTGCGTTGTAAGAGTACAATTTGAATATGGCGTCATCGGTAGCCATTACGAAACAAGTAAACGATGCATAATTATAATAATTCATGGGAATTTATTATCTGTTTACCTGGTTGCGGAGAATGTTCGCGAAAACGAATGATGAGAATGAAAAGTCAGTGATCGGGTCAACATTTTCGAACGAATCAATGCGGAGTGAAGTTAAAAAATTATGGGACAGAGGTTTCGTAATCCGGCTAAATCTTCTCCATCCTAATCGGAAATCTTCGCGCGTTAGTCGAGAACAATTCGTTTTTCTTCTAATTTCCGTGAAATTCGTATATTTTATTCGTGTACGTTATTTTATTGTCTTAATCATGCGCACGTATTATGATAATATGACGTAATTGCGTGCACAGAAATTTCCGTGTATGTACACTATCGGAAAGAGACTGAACAATTTGGGGGAACCGACGACATGTGGGATGGAAGATGTTTTCAGAAATCCATTTTTTATTGATTGAATGTCAAATAAGACATCTGTTGCATTCAGTATTGTGAGACCTGATGTTATAATTTTTACTATCAAAGATTATTGTAGTGTTAATATTAAATAATATTGTATATTGTAAAATATTAAATGTTAATCTATTAATGATAACTCGGGCCTGTTCGTAACAAAATTCATTATCTTTCAAAGATGGCGTGTCCACTACACAATGGTGCACTGAATTAAATAAAGTCTCCGATATTAAATAAAATTTTATCAAACATTGGAAATAATATATATTCTACGGAATATTATACTGCACAGCTATAAATTATGAGTAAACAGAAATTTACTATTTACTCCGTTAAAAAGAAGCGCTTAAACATCTAGCAATTCAAACTTCGCGCCTCGGGGATCGAATTCCCAAAGTTCTACTTTTTTACAAAGAACTTGGAATACATGAAATATTACGAACCTTTCATGATGTATTTACAATCTTCTGCCAGTCTGTTTTAATATCATAAGGATTAACTAAAATTGCAGTAACAAGCCCCCACTTTTAACGGACAATTATAAACTGTTTATAATGTTGATTATCCGCCTTAATGAATATACATGCTTCCAAATTAAAAAAGAAACGTATAGAGAGTCAATGAGGAATAAATTTAGCATGGAGGTTTGCATATTTAAATAACTCGGTCTTATTAGTTCACAAAGAGTGTACTCTTATGTAACCTGGAAATCATTCATAAACATGATGGTTCGTCATTTTCGATTACTGGTACCCCTGGTAGACATACTTATTTATCGCCTTTATAACCCATCGTCTTTTCATCGAGTACAATTTATTTGATTCCCCGATGAATTGTTTTGAAAGAGTCAATAATGCATAATTAATAAACAATAAAAACTTGTTATTGTTAGTTAAGCACTAATTTTGGTTAAGTGATGGTAAATTAACTTAGTAAACAATCTCCTTATTGCCAACTATTTTTCAGTTTTTTAAGAACGTTAAACATACATAACGATTTCCCTTTTCGAATAATCACTTTTTCATCTACATTTTCTATGGTTAACGTACATTCCCCCTCAAAGGAGAACCCACAAGTAAAACAGAACCACAAAACTATATATCCGTTTCATTTACCTTTCTATGACTCATGCTATCCCAAAATAAAGTTTTATACACAAAATAATATATCATTCTTACTCGAAATTCACGAATTCTCAGATTCATCGTTTGAAACGTCCTATATTCGGCGCCACGAAGTAGGATTTCAAGCGCATGCGCAAAGGACTGGAAGCTTCGAATATGGGACCACGATCACGTGCTGGCGCGGTACACGGGACACTCGACACGCATGCGCACAGTCGATTCGCGACAGCCAAGTCCGATCAGCTGGAAAGCAATTGTGCTACTGCTATACCGACCATCATCGGTGATCGACATGCTCTTGATTCCGTACAGTTGTGTGGAAACAACACTTCTGTTTATCATGTATATACGAACATTTCTATTTACGTATATACGATTGACGTCCGTGTGGGATATATACACGACTCTATGCATTTATTTGTGAACACACACGTATTGCTCCGTATGGTCAAGCACCACACGCGTCACACGCGAATATCAATTAAGCAGGTTTCAATATTGAACTCGTATGTGCACAACAGGACATTCATGTTTATATGCGTAGTGTTTACTTTTAAGGTTATGTCAACTTAATTTCCACATGACCAAAAGGGAGCATGTTAACCCTAGAATACATGATCTAGTTAGTTCTCGTAACTTATTTTCATCTGATTCGTATTGTGTAACAAATACCATCCATTTTTTTTTCGTCTTATTTTTGCTGCAATCCCTCGGGACGAGTTATGAAAATAAAGAACCGAGCAAGAAAAAAAAAACTTCTAGTCGTCTACCTTGAATTAATGAACGATTATCCGCTTCTCTTTTTTGCTAGTTATCGTGCATGCTGACGAAATAATTAAAAGCGTAGAAATAAACACCCCAATTAAGATGTAGTAATCACGAGAATTGTATCTCTCTTCGGTATAATTCATTAAATCAACATAACCCAATTTTCAATGAAAAGAATTTTCAGAAGAAAATATACGAATTGACGACACTTATGTCATGAATAAGTTTGAAAAATATATATATATATATCACTTGGAGTAGATTCTTGTTATCTCTGCTAAGTAATGATTGATAAAAAAAATAAAAGAAGAACCGGCACTTACGTTATTGACATTTATCTTGAATTGATAAGTCTATGATAGAATCTACAACATGTAATAGTTTGTATCGACTGTTTAAACGTTCTGTTAAAGAATATTACATTCTATTACGGTTTTCTAGTTAATATAAAATTGTAAAGATTTTTATTTTTTTAAATTGCATTTCTTTGTCATGTAGAGTGGAAAGAGCAAATTTGGAATTTTTTTTAACTATCCACATTATTTTTTTTAACTATTATAAGCCACAGTGGACGACTCTTTCTATTGCAATTTTATTACTCAACGTTCAAAAAAAGTGTTGAACTATGCGCGTTCGAATCTGTTGGTAACAAGACTTGTTATCCTTCAAAGGTGGTGCATCCACTTGAACATTATGGAGGTACAGAAGTGTTTATTTGCAAACAATGTTCTGTACGATTGCTTTGAAACGAGTGCACGTCACATTTTGTTTATAATAATCTGATTTAAAAAAATGTAATAATACTTCACCAAGTTATAGTACTTGTTTAATTTTGAATACGAATTGATAGTATAAGAACATGATAATTTCAGGCCTTGATGACACTCTTACGTTTAATTATGACATAATAACAATGAGCTTTATAGTTGATATATTTTACTAGAAACGTTTTCTAAATATATTGTAATTGAAAAATATATTTTAACACGAATCTTTGAAGTACATACATATCTAATTTGTATAAACAGTTAATGCAAAGATAATAATTTGTTTATTACGATTGTTACGTAACACGTCGCGGTATGATGCAAAATTTCACTCTTTTTCTCAACAAAACGATTCGATAAAAATATTTTTGATACATCTAATGAAAGAAATAACGATAGCATTAAATTATTCTTTCGTTTATAAGTTTCGTTTGATTATGGTTAATCTCCATACACATGCTTAATGTCCATATTACATGCTGTAGACGCTTCAATCCATTTGTCCATCAACTGTTTTTCCCAAAAAAATTCAATTAACCTGGATATTCTATCGGAACATCACGTTAAAAAAATTATGCTTCGTCGTAAAACTAAAAATTTTCACAAATTCATCTTTCAACGTCACGAAAATTTATTTAAACGAAAGTTGACAAAAATCATTCCAAAGAATAGGATACATGAAATAATTCAACAATAAGCAGCTAATCTAATGCGTCTTACAATTAGTTTTTTAGTCTCTGGGTTGCATAATTCCAGGCGTTGCATTTACTTTAGAAGAACCAACGTCAGATGGCAGCACCTGCCTATAAAGCAGAGAACTTGGCAGGTTGCAGGCATCCAGGGGCAACTCATTGAGTGCATCAATTAATGAAATTAACGCTTATACTAGTACCTTATAAGTATTTCGGGTACCATCCAAAAATACCTTAAAAAATATACAATTTTTTAAGTATTTATTCAAATTACCACATTTCTTTTAAAAATGAAAATATTTTCACGTTTTTTTATCTCATTATTCATATCTAGTAAACGTATATTCCATTATATAAACTTATTTTATAAAAATAAAGTGTCTTTACATATGTTTAAATTGTACTAAAAATAAAAAGCAGGTAATCGGCTCAAGCTATATTTCGAAAAACCCACAAAGCCTCTATATCGGCTCTGAAGTACTAAAAGGATTAATAACCCATTACTTTTGATAGATTTACAGTTCAATCGTACCATTATATTATAAGAATTACATTTAACGTTTTTTCAGCATTATGTAACCTCATTTTCGAAAAGATGGGAAAATTTTTAAATTTGAACTACATTGTGATTTCACTGCAAGAGTAGTAAGATCACTAACTGGTACACATAATTAGTCCGTGGTACACCTAGTGGTCGAAGGGGCAATCCCAAACCGTCAATCGCCGATCCCCAGTTACGGTAGAAATTCAAATGTTCCCGCGTGAAATACAGCGCGGCCTCCCACCATCGGGACACCCAACGGAATCAATACTTCCTTATCGACTGTGCAGAGAGCAAGTCTCCTCGGCGATCTCGAGCACTGCAGTTGTGACACATTGTGTCATATTGTGTCGCAATAATATCTCGAAGCTCCTCCTAACCGAGGCGTCAGGCGAGAGGAAACTGTTCGCTGCGCCGGTTGATCTGTGTGACGAGTACAGCTGTTTCGCGAGTCGGATATCGCGTGCGTGCCATGTAAAACCGCCAAGAGGCGTGTGTGCATTCGGTTAACTCTGGTGGACGTTTTCGACCCAGAAAGTCTCCTTTGGCATTCGGTGGCCTTCCGGCGTGGTCCCGTCCGGTGTTTCTCGCCTCTTATTTTTCCTCTTTTTAAGTTCAGTGAAGTCTGTTACATCGTCAAGTGTCCGTCAAGCGGCTTGAAGCCTTGTCTTCGAGCAAATTCACCATCCCCCCAATTCCTGTGATGGATTAAGTACATCCCCAATTCTTCAGTCGTCGATTCCAGGTGAGTCCACTTGTCCTTGTGTCGGTGCGTCTCTTTTTTTTGGAGAAGGGGGGGGGGACGTGATCATCGTTGATTGCTGCAGTTTGTCATTATGATTACATTATACACAGACTTGGACATTATCCTGATGAAATCACGTGACTATTCAAATTATGGTGCATTTTTCAGTCGGTCAAATGTTGTCCTAGAATGTAGTGTACTTTCGTCTTTTTTTTAATAGAATGGAATTTGTTCTTTGATTTGTTTGCTAGGTAGCATCCAATCCGATTGATTTTCATGTTGTTTCTCATTTAGTATGCTTTCTAAAACCTTGTTTTGATGTAGGAGAAAGCCACTTTTCCTAGGTTATTCTTGGATAGATGTGAGAATATTGGATGTGGAGCAGTTACCTGTATTTATGTTTTAAATAATTCATGGTCAAATTTGTTAATATATGTAAGAAGTAGACCAGATTTTGTATATCTAGAGTACACATTATTCAATGAGACTCAGTCCAATAAAAAAATTCAATAAAGTTCAGTGAGCTTTTTAATTTATTTGGAAACAAATAGAACCTGTAATAGGGCCAACAATATTTTGTTTGATTCTGGATATTAGTCCATGGAAGTCTATATTTGCATAAGCATCTGCAGTCTGCTAATGTTTTAATGTCTATAGTCAAAATTGATGCACATGGGATATATTTGGGAACAGTTGAATAAATTACTATCATTAATAAATATTAAAATGATGAAACAGACAATAAGTAAGATAAAAAAACTAAAAGATTAGAGAGGTCAATACATGAATGTGCTGCAAATTAAATACCAGTTCCCATGATCTTATGTAAAACTGTATAAGATTTAATTATAGTACTGATAGAATGAATATTAAGTTTAGAAAAACAATGCATGCAAAAATTGTTAGAAACTTTTATATGTGTTGTTTCATTACAAACAATTTAAGACAAAGTCTAATTACAATTTCAAATCATAACAATGGCATGTTTCAAAATGTTTAAATGAAAACACTTAAAAAAAAAAAGTCCTATACTTAGTTATGTTGCATAAGGCAAGAAAAAAAACTCATCTTTTTTTGCACTGTATGCACAAGAAGCAGGCATTAATTAAACTGTTTTTCAGTGATTGTAACAAAAACATAGTTTTTTAAACGATTCGTGTAATTTATTTAAAAAAAAAAATAATGTGCTCTAAAGGCTGTTCTCAAAGACAGTACTCCCTTCAATTCTTGAAGCACTTCATTTTGACTGAATGAGTGCAGTTTCTATTTTCATGAAAATTATATAATTATGTGGAATAAAATAGTCCTCAGTATTGTAAACATTAAAACAATCGACGTTGCGAAAATACAGGATGTGCAAATTAACTGATCCTCATGTAACCATAAAATTAACGTTTTTTTTTCTTAAGATTTCGTTTTCAAGAAAACGCAAATTGAAAAATTATTGCGTGTTATTCTCAGTATAATTTAGTTCTCTTTCTGCTTATTGCAAGGACTAATGACACTCTAACCGTACGAATTTTCAAAATCGATTTTCTCGAGAACCAACCTTCACGAGACAAGAATTTACTGTACAATTGCGACGTAATTCAGGCACGAGCAACCACCTCACCCTGTATATTGAACTGTTTTTCGTTCAGAAATACACGAGATTTTGTAATGACCGATTACAAAATTATTCTTGGCAGCTTTCGGTACGCTATTGAAGTTTTCGGTTGGTACGCATGGAAAATCTTCGGATTTTTCCTGTAACCTGTTTATAAGCGATTGGGGTAGAGCACGTGTAGCCACCGTTCCGTCCCGTTGCGTCACGGACACGATTTGATAGTACACGTACACAAACATTTATGATTTCCACGCTCGAAAATTTATGAAGGCTCATGCGTACGAGACACGATATTGGGTTGATATATGTACACTATATCAGTCTTATTTTTTATTCTCCCTGTCAGGCAGTGACTCTCCATTGAAGATCGTCAAAACATGTTTTTATATGCGAATACGACCAAGCACTTATATGATTATTTATCTTTAGAATTATACAATTACAAAGACTTCATATACAGGGTGTCCCATTTAAATCGACCCATTCGAATATCTCCGAAACTGTTGACGATATTGAAAAGTGTTTCAGACAAAATTTAAATGGTCTTAGGGAGAGGGGGGGGGCACACTTTTTTTAGGTGGACGCGTAATCGTCATATGAAGGTCAACTTTGTTTCTTTTTTAATGGAATCGTATATTTTTTAATGTCCTAATTCGCCATAAGTGACTTAGTACTTCATGCAGGGAATAACGAGTAGCATCAAGTAGTGCATTAAAAAATATACGATTCTATTTTTGAAAAACAAAATTGACAATCATATGACCTCTACGCGTTCACCTAGAAAAAAGTTACATCAGAAAGTGTGCTCTCTGACACCATTTCACTTTCGTCAGTAACATTTTCTACTATCGTCAATAGTTTCGGAGATATTCGAGTGGGTCGATTTAAATATACTTGGTCGTATTCGAATGTAAAAACATTTTTAAAATATAGTTGCAAATAGGTTATAAGTAGAAAAATTGTAACCAAAAATATCTGATTTTGGTCCAGATCCGTTTCAGATTTCACACATATTTTCAAAGTAGGTGATCGTTTATGAATTGTAACAGGTTTGACAGATTTTTATCTCGGATCTTCACCGTTAGTCCCGCGTGGTATACACTAGCACTGTTCTCCAAGAGATACTTTCCGCGAGCGTCAAGGTCGCCGCTCCGTTATAACGGAAATTTTGGTGTCGGTCACTGCAATGACCGCTTGTGGCGCTAACGGAAAAACCCCTCGGTTATCGATGCCCTGCGTGTCAACGAACTTATTAATAATTGCTGGCGCATTATATTTGCATAAACATTCCGAATAACGAATGAAAAGATTGAAAAATATGCGTGGACATTAATTCGTGGTCTGCATCCGACACTGTTGATGTAATATGTACTTGTAATTAGGCTGTTTCACATGACTTGCAGACATAATGAAAAATTATGCAAATTATTTAAAACGGTTCACGATAATATCTCATCTATTTGCCCGTACATTGAATAATTTTTTTACTAAAGAACAGTCCTACCTAAAGAATGAAAAGAAGCTTTACGAATATCAGTTTTTTTAGTCTGATTTCAAATTTCCATGTCTTGTTGAGTCACTTGTTCAACCAAGGAATGAAAAGAAGCTTCATAAACATCAGTTTTTTTTATGACTTCAAATTTCCATGTCACATTGAGTCACTTGTGTGATTTAATCTGTTTCAAATAATTTCGACTCAGATTGCTAGATTGCCACTAGAGTACACAATTTAACTTAACATTTTACTGACTGATAGCCTACTAATAGACTTTTAAATAAGAAGTCTCTGAATTTACCCTCATATCAGGGTTAAAGAGGACATTGCTATGTTATTATTCTGTTAGAGTTCTTGCTGTTTTCCATGAATCTAATTAAAATGTTTAATACTGGTTCCTTGGCTGTTGATCCATGGATCTGCTAAACCTATTAAATAGCAGTCAATAGGTAGTGTTAATATATTTATCCCTTAGTCTGTAAAATATTTGTAACAGAATGGACTAATCGTTCATTGGAATTATTAGTCAAAATTCTGAAATTCATTGGAAGAAACTATTTTAACTGCACCTAGTGTAGACACAAAGCAGAGAAGCGAGTTTAAATTCATAAAACAATGACCAGATCTGATAATTCAAATCAAGGAAGTAACAGTTTGAAGACAGTCAAGTTTGATTACTTCTCCTATTTTTCTAAATGAAACGTAAACAAAATAACGCATTAACAATCTGCCCTCAGGAACAGACCCAAAGCAACAATGGAATACTTAGATCGACTTCCGATCCCGAATCTTCGGGTGTACACAGGAATGAGCTTCGCCGTTCTGTCGTGCTCGGTGTACTATGCAGCCCATATCATCAAAGATCCTACCTGGAAGAGCAACAACACGTACGTGGAGATGGAAAACATTGATTTCACCAGCGACGTCGAGTCTTATCCAAGGAACATAGTGATGCATCTGAAGGAATTGATCGAATGTATGCTGGACGAGCCTATCTGCATTTGGGTACGTGGTGTGACCAATTTCTAGCTCGATAGTCTACAAGACTAACATGTGACATATCCCTGGAGCATAGTTGGACAAAATTTTAATCGAATAATATATAGAGAAAAGGAAGAGTACCTAACAATGTCATCCTGAGCTTTAAACAGTTGAGTAGATTGAACAATTTTTTGCTAAATGTTGACTTATTCAAAAAATGGTATTATTTTATTATTAAAAATGGAATTTCCACGCTTAAACAATTAAATATGATTCGAAACTCTTAATCTAGATAATGAATTTGCCCATCTCTGTCCTGGAGTTTCTAAAACATAGTCACCAATTCGTAAAACTTATTATTTTTGGCTACCCTACGAATATGCACACCATCCAGATTAGTTGTGATCAGAGTCAAGTCAACCTAAACAGTGTAGGAAGGTTAAGGGTGCAACGTCTGCATGAGACCTAACCTCAAACCTGGTTAGTGGTTACTGGATGTAACTGTTTAATATAGTGGGAATTGCAAATCGTTTCACAGATTTGTTTGCACCGCTGCATTTAGTTGTTAGTCATCTTGAACTTATCACAGAACGATGGTCTTCCTCCTTGGCAAATGAAGCAGGAAGCAACGGGCAGTGCCCGTTTGGTTGGGCACCGGCGATGCTCGGTCACTGCCAAACGTGTCGAACTGTCTGGCTAATTTTAGCTCCTTACATTTCGACCATTTCTGTACCCCCTCGTAACAATTCGAGATAATACGCAGAAACGTCAATCAACCGAAGACATGACACATAATGGATGGTGGATTTTCTTAACGATTTTCAGACATTGATCAATATGGCTTACTGCATGCTAATCCTCCTTGGCAAGACGATCCAGAAACTGGTGTTCGGTGAACTTCGGGCGTCAGAGAGGCAATATCTGAAGGACAAGTTCTGGAACTTCCTTTTTTACAAGTTCCTCTTCGTCTTTGGCGTGCTGAACGTGCAGTACATGGACGAGGTGATCCTCTGGTGGTCCTGGTTCACCGCGCTCGGCTTCCTCAGCCTGCTCAGCCAACTCTGCAAGGATCGATTCGAATACGTGAGTATCGTTTTCTAAATCTTGGTTAGCCGAGTTCCACTGTAAATTGAGAAATTGATCCACGAACCCGGTCAGATTCTCGCGTAAATTGCCGAGAGTCCTCCTCAGCTCTGGATTCGATTTAATTACCTCGTTCGAACGTGGCCTTCCGTTAAATTGAACATGACTTTACAATTAACGCTTCCGATGCGATTATAGAACAAGAATTGAGAAGAATATCTTGAAAATTTAGAAATTATGTTCTTAATTACTTTAATGAAGCAAATAATTAAAAATTTGTATAACTGCTGTCGAATCTTTTAAGATAAGAAATTAAAAAAGGAGTCTAAGATTTTTCTTGTAAAGAACTCAGTCGCCATATTGTTTCAACTTGGACGCCGACAATTAAATGGCAAATAAGTCACAAATTATTAGAAATCAACACTGACCCACTTGTTTCAACGTTGAAAATCAAAGTCTTTGACAGAAATCTTGAATACGTATAGCTGAAATAAATATACAAAGAATTAAAGTTGGCAGATGAAGACTGATCTTACAGTCGCCATATTGTTTTCAACATTTGATCCAGCCGTCTTATTATTAGTAGGTAAACTTTTTAAGTGACACCTATCTAATAAGTCGACTACCGAATATTAACTGTACAATACATTCTTCAACTCAGAAACAAGCTTCTGCAGAAGTTCCGACTGCGTCCAATTAAAACGACAGTTAAAAGAAAAAAAGTGAACGGTAGAATTGGAAACTGGTTCCGGCGGTCGCCATATTGCCTCCGCCCTGGTACCCCAGTCCCATTCGCTGAATAATTTTTTACGCGACGGACCGTGTGATCGCACCGAAAAGTAATTCTGGCGTATCTTTTCAAAATTTTGTTTACCAAAAACCTGACCGTGGACGATTAAAATCGACAAGGAAAAAAAAGAAGGAAATTAACTGTAGATCTGAAAACTAGTTCTGCAGCCGCCATATTTACATATATTTTAATGCCCGTTAATATAACTGTCGACATTTTCTTTTTCGTATTCAACAAATTTCGGACACTGAAGGACACCGAAATTAATTCTGACGGATCGATATTTGGAATTCATAAGAATAATTAAGACTCGAAATGAAGAGGGGGTAGATTGGAATGACCTCTTGTTGTCAACGCTTACACATACCTTTAAATATTTCGAATATCTCAACATATTTTAAAGCCAGCGATTTTCAGACCGGATGAGTCGCCTGCAGTTGGCACGCGTTTACTCTCGTCCTGATATTACGAAATTCACGACGTAGAGCTACTTTTGCCATTGTCTCTCGTTAGATACAGTATCTGGCCATCTTTTATTTACGCGTGGCGTACATCTAAAATCAATATGTTGCTTATCTATTCGACGTAGTTTCTTGCATTCGCAAATGGGGGGAGGGGGCGGTCCGTGTTCGATCTGACAACGTAACGAAATCGTTATAAAAAAAACTTTCCTTCATGATAAAATGTAGTATACGTTAATGATTTTTTAACTTCCAAAAGTACTATTACTCATCTGAAAATTCGTATGCATACTTATGTAAAATAATAACCATACATGTAGAAACACTTTATATATGTAAGGGTGGCCCAAAAGTCACTAGACGATTTAAAAATAGAATAACTCTTTTATGCATTAAAGATTCACATTTATGCTTTTATAAACAATAAATATACCTCTTGGAAATTATTTTTAATTAGTTTTGAAGATTATGTCCTTCAAATGGCCACCATTTTGTTCTTGACAGTGACAGGCTCTTTTTAAAAAGGTATTATATTTTAAAATGGTTAGTGACTCTTGAGCCACCCTGTATAACCTTGACGACTCCACCTTGCAAGAATGAAAAAAAACTGATATTACTAATTCATGCATATGGCCAGATATCAAAGAATCTCTGTAAACAGATTTTTTTGGTGTTGCGATCGTTTTTACGGATATTTCATTACCATATATTTGCATGTACGGCCCCAGCAGTAGAAATAAAGAAAAGAAAAATGTTATTTATTAGAAATTTGCCATACGTCTGATTTCAAGACCACTCACACATAAGAATCATAAGAGGAACACGTCGATGCTAACCAGATCGTCTTCAGCGGATGACCGAAGACTTTACTGTAAAAACAAAGAGTCTCGTGACTCAGTTATGCAATTAATTCAAGTGAATCCTGTTAGCATAATTGAATAGAAGTAACCGGGTTATACCTGTCCAATACGACAGCCAGTTTTCCTTGGTTCCCTCTGTACATAGTACTTTTTCAATCACGAAGTTATACATCGCGTAGCAACAGTTAGGTGAACAATATTCTTCTTTTTACAATTTGCATGTAAAATGATTGATACAACAACTATCAAGGGAAAGTACCCTACTTGGAGAGAGTAAATACTACAATGATACTATTTTTGTTTTCCAAGGGTGTTGATGTGTTATTGGATGGAACCATTCATATTGATTTATCATTTTACAGTTATCCTTTTCACCGACAACCCCAGGTTGGAGTCATGCAAGGCTTCTTGGACTGCTCGCTGCGATCCTGGCCTTGTCATCTTTCATGTTGCTGCTCTGCACAGCTGCAGCCTTCTTCTTTGTCTCCTTCAACACATTCGTCTTCACTGCAGCAGAGGTATCTAAATGTTTCACTACTTCTGGGGCATCTCCCTTTTTCATTTACGATTCAAATTCAGAACTTAAATTCTGTAGAATGTATTCTAAGCAATAATATCTTTCCGTTTTCTTATTCATAGTGTATTCTATTGGGCGTGAGAACGATGCACGTAATGGTAAGGTACATTATTCACTTGTACGACATAAGAGGCGTTGGAACATCCTCGCAACGTCCATGGGACAAACGAGGTCCCCTCACGTATTACACAGATCTGGTGGCAGAGCTGATAGTACTGTCTGTGGATTTCCTCCATCATGTCCACATGTTACTTTGGAGCAACATTTTCCTGAGCATGGCGTCTCTCGTAATCTGTATGCACCTTAAGTACCTTTTCTATGAGATACAGCACAAAATGACGAAACATAGAAACTACTTGGCTGTGCTGAGCCATATGGAACAAAAGTAATTATTCCTTGTATCTTACGTTAATGTATATATGTACACTCTAGTTTTCAATAATAAACATCCTTGATGTTTCGTTTAGCTATCCAATGGCAACGCAAGAGGAACTGGAAGAAAATTCAGACAACTGTTCAATATGCTGGGAGAAAATGGAGTCAGCTAGAAAGCTGTCCTGCGGTCATCTGTACCATAATTCATGTCTACAGTCGTGGCTGGAACAGGACACGTCTTGCCCAACCTGTAGGGTTGCACTGAGCATGCAGCAGGAGCTACCGAACGAGCTACAGACACCAGCCAGACTAAATGAAAATCATTCCTTCCGTTTCGACGGCTCGAGATACATTTCTTGGTTGCCGAGCTTCTACGTGGAAATATTTCACAATAGGTCACGCAGGGATATCCCTATTATTCCGCACAGCAACTCTCAGATGGACGCTATGATCAGACAGGTATATCGTATCTTGTACTGTTAATTTTACTATTAATGTTTATTAATAGTAAAAAGTTAAAATTTTACTATTTTCATAATCTACTGTTAATAATTTTCCTTCTGTAACTGGCAATGACACGGTACTATTTGGCATTAACCCCAGGTGCAGCAGCTGTTCCCACACTTTCCACGTAACGTGATTCAGGAAGACCTCAGGGTAACCAGATCGATCGATTGGACCATCGAGAATATTCTCGATGGTGTGCTGGTGCCACCGCATCATTTAATCGAAGAGTCACAATCGGAGTCCGTCCCTCAGATCCATATCAGTATCACTGAGATCAATGTCTCCTTGAATTCCGCTTCAGGATCGCCACCCACTGATCCAAGATTTGACATGCCTGTTGCCGACAGGTGAGTTTCTTTCCTTGTTATCTTTTTGTAATTTTTATTCGATTGTTAAAAAGAATTTACTGTAAGAAAGTTCACACCAATCCATGATACGAGGCCTAACGCCATAAATTCCTGGCCTAAATAGATTAGAACAGGGTTTCCCAAACTTTTTCTGCAATGGGCACTTCGCAAACCCGGAAATTTTAATAGAACACTTAGCTTATTTTTTAGGTTGGGTAATTCCTACTAGTAAAAAGTAAAAAAAATGTTATTAAAATATATTATTTATTTAGTAATTATTTTTAAATATAAAACTATAATATAATATAGACATAAAAATATGAATAAATAAAGCACTTAATGACTTTGACGATAAAACCTTTCCAAATTGTCGCGGAACACCTATTCAGGTTCAGCGAAGGACTGGTATTTGGGAAACCCTGGGTTAGAAAATAGACATACGAAAGTATTCGAACACCCTTTAAAACAGAACAACTTTTTTAAAATTGGAAATGAGTTGAGTTCTTTTGTGAAGTTAGGGACATTAGTTTACTAAATGACGTGTAAACAAAATTTCAGCGGCGAAGAACCTTCCAGTTTAGGAGCACGGTTTTCCAAATCCTCCATGGAAAGGGAGCACATCCTCCAGCATCGCAAAGAACACATGAGACTAAATGCAAGAAGGAAATTTATGGAGAAGCACAGGAAAGAACATGAGGCTGAGCAACGTATTTCCGAAGTCACCTCTTAAAATAGAATAGGCAGAGAGAGATATACGTGGAAATTTTGAGTTTATGTGCTTGGTAGACTACCTTCTGTGAAAGAAGTGTATACGACTGATTTTCTTTGGTAACATGTCCAGTGACAACTACTTATATTCTTTTTCTTTCTTTCTTTTTTTTTTACCTTGTAAGTCTTGTTTACTCCTACTGTTGAGAAAGCTGTTTCTTTGTTCAAAGCGTTTGTTCCTGAGATTTTTAAACGTTCTTAATTTTTTGTTTTTAATTATACTTAAGAAAAATGATCTTTAGAGGTACAAGTTTTCAATTAATCGTTTTTCATTGTATCATTATAAATAATTGCTTACATTTTTTTACTTTAATTCTAATATCACCATGTTTAAAAGCTTTATTCGATTTTTATAAATAATTTTCTGAAAAATTACACATCCGTTTTCTTTTTCTACGAGAAATGTTTTTCTTAAGAATATATGTATTTTTTTTATTCTTAAGTTAAATATGAATGATGACTTTAAAGTATTAAGTCTTTAATTTTTTTAGCGATAATAAGGAAAATTAACTTAAAAAGTATTACTCGCTTAATTAATTTTCATTCTTTATTTATTAAAATAATTGTTAAGTAATGTATCAGTCTGAAAGGTCTTAATCTTTTTCTTTTCTTTTTCGAAGTAAATCTTCCTAGGATTCAAAATGTTTAAATAAATAAATGCTTTCTTGGGAAATTCGTACATAATATCTTTACAAAAGCCAGTGATTTTGCATTAAGAAACAAGTTACTTAACAACTATCATTCACTTTTCTTAAGAGAAATATTTTTCTTGGCTGTTTCGAAATATCCCAGTTTTGAGATTTTTGTTTGGAATCTTTAATTTCTGTTTGTAAGAAAATGAATTTTTCTTAACAACAGAAAATGGAGATTTTAAGAAATAATATTTACTGGTTGTGAATTATATACTCATTGGTGGATTAGAGGACTGATAAAAATAAGAATGTATTGTTAAAAGTAATGTTCTTTTCACTCATTCTTTTTCACATAAGTAAAGAATAAAAACATTTAGCGTTTTCCATAACAGATGGTCACTGTAATTTGTGTTATTAATTTTATTATAATATTTAATGTTGTCATTTTAGAAATAATATAAGTGATTGAAAATAAATATTTAAATCGTTCGAAAGAGAAGCAGAGTAATATTTACAGCACGTATGTTTGCAAAAATACATAAAATATTGTTTAATAGACTATAACAAATAAAAGTTCGTTTTTTTTTCATTATCAGAACTCCAGTATTCTTTATAAATTCTATTAAAATATTTTCCTAGGAATGTTTTCTTTCATGTAGAAAGCATTATATTTAATTACAACTTTCAATGTTAATGGAATGCAAAACTATACTATGTTTAGCATGAAGGAAGAAATACTTAGAATATATGAAATAAATCATTTTCTTCAATGGAGTATTTTTGTTTTGCAAAGTACCCTTTACTGTTTTCTGTTACAAACGCAAAAGCATCTCGTAAGCTCACAACGAAAAAAAAAAATGTAAAGGAATGAATTATTCAGGTGCAAAATTAATATAAAAACACTATGAATTATTTCGCAGAGAATTGTATACGGAATGGTAGCTCTTTCCTCTATCAACAAATAGCCACTCTGTACACTTGAATTATTATTACAATTCTAATATAAAATTACAATAATTTTTTTCTTTCAATACTGAATTCTAATTGTTCCGATATACGAATAAGAAATCTGATTTTACGGTTAAACTATGAATACGTAAATGTATTTAGTATCAATTATTAACAACGTACGAAGAAATCAATTTTTGTAATGACATTTTTACACGCAGTAGAAGCGATTACAATGTAACTGAAATGGAATAGTGTTATTTCAATAGGCAGTGTATATAATAAAAAATCCAAAAGGATAGTAGATGTTTTTGTAGAGAAACAATAAGAACTGAATTTTTCAAAGTCACAGAAGAAAGACACTCGAGGGGATAGTTCAATTGATTTTTTCATGTTGAACAAAAACATAGACGAAGTCTGCCATTTCATTACATGGACTTGAGAGTCACAAGATAACACTATGCCTATGTGAATTCGATAATTTTCACATTCTTCTGAAATTTATAACTTTCATCAAATAATAATTTTAACAGTTTTTATCTTGTTATTTATGTGATGTAACAATAAGGGAGGAAGAAGTTTGTTATGTCTTTGCATCTTACTTTTCTGTTAGTCTTAGCTAGAAACGCTAGACCTACAAGATATCCTATAATGTTATGTAAATAAATGTAATATAGTCGCATTTAGTTACCACTAAAAGATTCGAATAAAAATTTATGATCCATGCAAGATTTCTTTATTGATTTAGAGTAAGTGAAAATTATCTAGGACTGCTAAGACAGAGGAATAATTGTAAAGTATATTTGCTATTTCTTAAAAGTAATCATTGCAACCAAATTGTGGATACATTGCACTACCGCCAAAACGACACATTTCCGAATGTATTTATTGCAACCGTTCCCGATATTGCACTCCTTTCCCATATATTTATACCAGAAAATATATAAAACAACGTATTATTTTATAGTTTGAATAAAACTGTCGTAAAGCAGGTAAACAAAAATTTCTATTTATATAGTTCTACTACCAAAATGAGCCTATTTTTGTTTACTCACGTATTCCGATGTCTGTCGAGAATTTTCGTCGAAATTCTTGAAATAATCTTGAACTCTTGACATTTTCCCACAAAAGCACAAGAAGAAATATAAAAACACACACGGAAAACACAGAAACGATAAATGAGCCTCTCATGAATCAAACTGAATAACTACACTTTTGAAACTACAAAATTTTTTACTTTTTAATCTTTATAGTCAATATTTATTAACCCTCATTAATGAACGATATAATACTTTGTTTTGTTTTCAAGAAGTTAAAATTAATTAATAAATGTGTAAAGTACGTCCTTTGTTTTGTTTTATGGACTTGATCCGTTCGGCTTGTTACAGTCTCAAACTAGAAACAAAACGGCGGGCGAATATTCAAAATGGGCAGCACGGTCGTTAATGGGACGTTTTCACCGATGCGTTATGTTTAAATGTTCACAATAAACTGACCACCTTTTCTTGTCTTTAAAAGTTTAACCACTTTCCTTAAAGAAAGGGGATGAATTTTACCAATTAAAATAGAGTATCTTCGAAATTACTTATGTCCCTTTATTTCTAAAGGTTTTTTTGTCAGTTAGTGGTGGGTTAAAGAACATTAGGTTTCCAATAAAACAAGTATATGACTTTTAAATTGAGATTTAATATTTTATAATGTAACTGTAATTGTTAACTAAAATCCTGATTTATAATATAAAATTTATTTATTAATATAAATGAAACTTTATACACGAAATTCTGTAATAATTTTTACTGGCAATGATTAATTTTAATTTACTATATTCGGTTCATACAATTATGTTAATTTTTTATTCTGCAGTGTTTTAAAATAATGCAATCATTTTAAATAATTATGGATGATTTATTAAAAAATTTACAAATTTATTTCCTAAATTTAACCAATGAAGTTCATTACAACAATGTGAAGAATAATATGTGCAAAAATAAAGTCTGCAAATCCCCTTTCAGGACTTATCCCATGAAATTGGCTTTTATTCTGAGGATTCACTTGTAGTCGTAAGCACACTGCAACAGAAATGTAATTATTGATGATTTCATTTATTGAACAATTTCAGGCATTATATTCATGAAAATGAACTTATCGATACAAAAATTTATAAAATTATAAATCACATGATCCAACGGAATTAAATAATCAATAGACTACAGATATTTATGAATTTATAGCAAGTTCAAAGATACAAAACACACTGAAATGACAACTGTAGCGATCATTAATATTCACTGAATAAATGTAAGAGACTGAATGGTCACTAAGTAGATACTATAAACAGAATAAATCAATATGAAAATAGACTGTCACATATTGACACTGATAGCAGAAGTCAAACAAGATAATTACAATAACTACAATATGAATTATACAAACTCGCGAGTTTGATGAAAAATTATTATTGATAAAATACCTCCAAGAACGAAACAGGAGACACAAGAAATAAATCCGCTGAGAAAGCTGTTGAATGGGAACGTTCCAACAAGGCAACAATAGACGAATTGTATGACACCGGTTAGGAACACGTAAAGCAGATAAGCATCGATAATTTTGAGCTTTTTCGGCGTAGTTTTCGTGTACTCTTGCCAAAACTTCCCAATAACCGTAAACGCCGTCATTTTTACAATTTACTCTGACGTTTCGTTTAAGGTTGTGTCGAACTACGACGCGTGGCACCGGTACACCGACGGTGAAAATAATTGTCGCTTCCACTCCCACCCCGCCATGTATTCAGAGGCGGAAATGAGAGTTTTTTCTTAATCGTAATATTACATTTTTTTCTCAATGGCAACAGACTATCTCTTATATTTCCCAAAATCGAAACAACGTATTAACAATTACTATTAACGGTGTTTTTAATTAATATTTTATTCTTTAACGAAATAATCGGCGAAGACACATGGTGGCGCCATCTAATGAGCGGAAACTAGTACTATTTTGTAACAGCTTGGACGTTTTGCCGTAAATGTCGCCACAGACATATTACTATGGGGACTTGTTTGTAGTTTTGCGCGCCAATTTTGAAGGTTGAAGTTTGTTACTAATTTATTGATTAGTTTTAGATGTTCAGTTTTTATGTTTGAATTATCGTTTCTAAGTTTTTTAAATAATTTTATTTATAAATTGATTATCGTTAAGTTTTGACGTGTGTACCTTTATTTATAAACTGTTGACACCCTACAACTAATTTCATAAAAGAATATTGATTAAAAATGCCCCAACCGATTATTTAGACCACCGACTAGGTATAGAATAGACCTATCATCCAATGCTTTTTTCTGTCCCACGTTCATATGATATTTATTTGGGGAATATGAACATCATAAATAAACGAGAGCGGTAGAGCGAGTTGCGGTATCGGTGCTCTCCGTCGGTGTCGACGCGTGCTGAGGAATTGATAATAACAATAAACGGCCGGAACATTGTTAAAATCGCATTTAATCGCGGAGTACCACTATTTTTTCGACTGGTGGCGCCATCCGTGGCGTAACTCTGCAACTGCTAGCCATATAATTGGTTAGCAGTTTCATCGATTCGCCACGGATGGCGCCACCGGTCAAAAAAAAATAGTGGTACTCCGCGATTAAATTGCGATTTTAACAGCGTTCTGGTTGTTTATTGTTATTATCAATAACAGTGGATTAATCTACGTACTTTCAGCTACAAATTGAGTGCTTCAGCTAAACGAAAGCTGTCCGTAGAACGGTGTAAGAGCTGTGTAAAGTGAACTAAACGGGGTACGCATGACGAGATACCGTGTCAACCGTTGCAAATAAATATTATTTTAACAATGTTCTTGTAATTACTGGTTCCCAGCCGTTAGAGAGTATTATTCTACGTTCTTTAAATTTCGAATTTAATGCGTGACGAAGAAAAATGATGCCCGTTCTCACAAGTACTAGTTTCTAACTTCGTTTATGAAAATACAAATTCGAAAATCTTCTCGCGCCACACGTCTAGGGCAGTTCTGTCCTAAACTTACGCACAAAACGTAATTAAAATCATTTAAATAAAATAATAAAATTTCATATTTCTCATAAATACTAAGACGGGGTTGTTGTTTAATAATTTATGATAAAATACAAATTATTCATTTGTAAAGCTTCATTACAAGATCCACTAAATAATTTTCTATAACATTCAAAGTA